CATGTTATTTCCCATTGTTTTCAAAACTCAGCCATGTTTACTCTGTTTTAATACTCAAATGATATTTAAATGATGTTTTGCACTGAGAAATACTGTTTTACTGTTGCCCGAGAGGCTTATGTGATTTTTGACTGAGTAAGGCCGAGGGCTTGTGTTGTGAGGATATCTTTGGGATCGGGCTGCACGCCGCAGCGGTGATACATATATTTTGGGATCGGGCTGCACGCTGCAGCGGTGATACATATCTTTGGGATCGGGCTGCACGCCGCAGCGGTGATACATATATTTTGGGATCGGGCTGCACGCCGCAGCGGTGATACATATCTTTGGGATCGGGGCACGCCGCAGCGGTGATACACTGATTTGATTATGAGGCCGAGGGCCTGAGATTGTACGCCACGAGGTGGCTTGATATTGATATGAGGCCGAGAGCTTATTTATGATGCCACGAGATGGCTTGTTATTGCGCTTGGGCCGTAAGGGGGCCCTCTCGGAGTCTGTACACCCCCAGTGAGCGCGGGTACACAGTGTGATGTGAGATATAGCCCGAGGGGCTGGTATTATTCGATGTGATTGCCCGAGGGGCTGATACTGTTCTATGTGATTGCCCGAGGGGCTGGTACTGTTCTGAGATATTGCCCGAGGGGCGGATTTGTTGATATGGTGCCCGAGGGGCGAACCTTATGTGCTTATCTTTCTTATTTGCCTGTCATTTACTTGATTAATTGTGCATTTGTGCCCGAGGGGCGGATTTCTGTGCTTACTTGCACTAGTTGTGCTGCATTCATTTGCGCAACTGTTGAAAAAGTCATTTTCAAAAGAGTTTAAACTGAGCTAAGATGTTTTAAAGAATTTTACAGCTTCATTGCTTTCTTACTGGATTTTGAAACTGCTTCTATACAGCATGTTGATGCTCTTTTCGTGATTTCTTATCACTCAGTCTTTATTTATGATTATTACTCACTGAGTTGGCAGTACTCATTTTACTCCCTGCACCTTATGTGCAGATTCAGGTATTTTCTGAGCTTGGTGGCAGTTGTCAGTGTAGTTAGCAAGGTAGCTGCCGGCGTTCGCAGCACTGCTTTCTCTCTCGTCATTCTATTAGACTGTACTGAGTACATTTCAGATTTGTCAGTTGTATTTAGACTTGGTAGATGCTCATGAATAGTGACACCCCGGTATCGGGATGTGGTTGGGTTGTACTTCTGCCTTGTTATGATATTGCATTGCTGTTTAGCATTATTAAAGCATGTTTTAGCCTATTGTATTGCTGTTGAGCTGTTTAACTTCGAATTGGGTATGTGTCGGCTGGCCTTGTCTTCAAGAGAGGCGTCATCACGACCGGTTCCGGATTTAGGGTCGTGACACAAACATTAGAAAAGTGAGAATTGATCTCAACTGACATGATGGTAACGGTAGTTATTGTTCTTTTGCTGAACTCTAATGCGACAAGCACTAGCCAATCTATTCATTAGACAAAATAGTATCCAATGGATTAAATCCTGCACCTTTAGAAATTATATTAGTATAATTATTTTCGTATATACTTACAATTTAATTACAAGGCATAGATATTAGCTTTGTAATCCTATATTACTTTTAAGATATACTTCTTAAAAAAATTTATTACTAATTATATTATCCAAATCCATTTAGAAACAGGAGAGTCTATATTATTATAAAAGTACGGATATAATATTGACAAAAGAACTCACAGGGAAAGGACATAGCTGTAATAACTTCTATGTTAATTTTATTTTTTTTAATATTTAAGATTTTAAAATTAATACAATCTTGTCTATTGAATTCTTATTAAAATAACGCAGGAAGGTTTAATAAAAATCAATTTCCTAAGAATCCTCCATATTGGTAATACATTACCACTTTATAATATTCAATACCCAAAATAAATAAAAGTAATGCTAAATGGACTACATAAAGCGTTGAAATTGAGAAAAAAAAATTCCACGATAATATATTATTATATTTGAACTGTTTTCCTACTCAAATAATTTTTTTATTACTAATTTTTCGTGTAATATAGAAAAATATACCCAATTATTAAAGAACAACTAAGAAAATTTTTAAGAATATAAATGTGTGAGAAAATAAAGAAAAATATTGGTAAGAGCCAATACCACTAATAATTTTGCAAACATAAAGATCTAAAAGTGGAATGTCATCGATCTTTTTACTCTTTGAAAATAAAATTTATGGTGGATAAAATTATAATCACGGTTAAATATTCAAACATAAGATGAAATAATATTAAGAATCTAAATCAACAGAAAATAAATTATATTTTATGTTAAAACCAAATAATTAAATTTTTAATTAATTATTTAGCAAGAGAATCCAATTAAATTGTTTTTTAAATTCATCGTATGAGTAAAATTATTTTTCAAGCTGAAAAGAATATAATATTAAGAAGGACATACAAATGTTTGAGAAAGCACAATCAAAACTAAATCCTGAACAAGAATAAGCTTTCAAGACTATATTATAAAAAATCGACTCTGGTATAGCGGGATTATACTTTGTAGATGCCTCCGGCGGAATAGAAATAATATTCCTATGTCATGTATTACTTGCAAATGTCAGATCAAGAGGCATGATATTGCTAGCAATAAGAACAAGTGGTGTACCAGCAACGATTTTATTATGAGGTTGTACAACTCACTTTATTGATATACCTCTTCAAGTAACTGAAATAACCATCACAAATATATCAAATCAGATCAATAGTACTAAATTTATAAGGAAAGCAAAAGTGATAATATGAGATGAAGCGCTTTTGGCTACGCGTCAAACGATTGAAACACTCACCCAGAGATTTAGAGATATATTGGATACCGATGAACTGTTTGGTAGAAAAGTAATAGTTTAGGAGGTGATTTCTGTTAAGTACGATCAGTAGTTCAAAAATTGACCAAAGTAGAAACGGTAAAAGCTAGCTCGCCAAAAGTATACTTATGACCTCAAATGAAAAATATTCAAATGACAAGAAATATAAAAGTAAGAACAAACCAACATTCAGTGACTTCTTGCTTCGTGTCAGGAACGAAGAAGAGTATCCAATAAAAGATGATTTGGTTCTTCTAGAACACTTGGTTATCAAACTCAATGGTAATAGTAGTGCATTTAATAAGGAAAATATTTTCATTATTTGATTAAAACGCAATTTGTGCAAATTACATGATAGAAATTAAAGAACTATCTTAGCTAGCAGGATGAATATGTTGATCAACTAAATAAAATGTTGAATACTAAGTCTTATGGTAAAAACAAATTATTTTTCAGTTTTAACTCAGCAGAAGATGATACCAGCAATACTACCAAGAAGAATACTTAAATATTTTATTACCAAATGGCCTTCTACCGTACATGCTTGTTGTCAAGTTCATTATTTCTTGCGTATGTTAGTGTCACCATATATATAAGACTAAGTTAAAATTGATCTTCCATTGCATATAGGTTTATGCCCGTCATGCTACTGAAAGCTTAGATCTGCTGAATAGCTTATGTAATAGTACACATATGATATATAAAAGTTTTGACAATAACGTCATACATGCAGAACTTATGATACTGGTCAATGTGCTTCTAAATATGTGTTTATCCCCGAAATCAACTTTTGTCTTCCGAAACTAAAGAATATCCTTTTAAATTTGTGTGAAAATAATTTTTAGTATGTTTATTTTGTAGTTATAATAAATAAAGCACAAGGAAAAACATCCTAAATATTGAATTATATTTACCACAATATATTTTCTTACACGAATAACTATATGTTGTACTTTCAAGAGAGATATCAATATCGACAACAAGAATTCTGGTTATGGCAGAGTGACCAAAGCATTAGAATGAAACATATACAAAAAAACACCGTCTATAAAGAAGTGTTCGGTAGATACCATCACATTAGATACCTTTAAACTACAATACCATTCACATATTATGCTAATGTAACAATATTTTTCGGCATTTAGATGATTGTTGTAGTATTATATATAAAATTTCTCTCATTAATTGAATTTTATTGTTTATTCATATAAATCAATAATTTAACCATCACTGCCATTAATAATGTACAACGAACATTTATAGATACTAGTTATATTTAAATATATAAAAATATATATTTTATCGGCTATTTCTTTTATTAAAAAAAAGAAAGAAGAGAACGAAACCAAATAGACAGAAAGTTAATGAATATACTTCTCTTCTCTTTTCAACTAACCCCATTGTCCCTTGTTTTTTTTACCAAGTCGTCAAATCACATCACTCTCTTCAAAAGCCAAAGTTACTAACTTTTCCACTATCGGCGATGATAAATTTATGTATTCGATATTTATATCAAATAAACAAGATAAAATTGAATTTTTGTTAATCCAATAACTTTAGCTTAAACATATATATATTTAAACGTATTCTTTAAATAAGTATAAATAATAAATTTTGAACTCAATCAATTAAATTGAATTGTGATAGAATATCAATCTTCAACTTATAAAGTTCGAATTCTGAATATACCTTTATTATTATTTTAACATAAATAGTCAAATGACATATTTATACTAACAAGGTTTGTGGTGGAGTGACAAGTATTCCTTCATACTTAACCAGAGGTCTCGGGTTCAGGTCCGAGTCCTTGGGTATGGAGTCGCCTTTATTAAGAAGCGTTTTATCTCCCAATGTGGGACTTTCCGGTGCGAATCCGAATTTAATCGGGCACCAATGTGGATACCGAACACCGGGTGAGAACAAAAAAAAAGAGATATATTTATATATGACTTTGTGATTAATAACTAAATTTGATGCAAACATGAAGTGCAAGTAAGTTCACGACTTTGTCTTTGTCCATTATACCCCTGGTGAAAACGTCGTTTTCTTTTGGTTTCAGGCGAACGTTACCAAAAGAAGATTTGTGAAATTTGGACAAAATACGTAATCTGAACTCTCACATGTATAATATCCATAAACTTGACACAATCCATAAAGTAAAAAAGACTTTACATTAAACTACAGTGCTATAACTATATTTCCTTTTAATCGAATCTATCAATCATCAATTTCTAAGCAACCCCACAAGGAAAAAGTGTAATTGCGACTTTTCTTCATCTGAAAAAGACTCTGTATATATTCATTACCTTCTAAGTTTTGTCCTCAGAAAAGCAAAACCCATCAAAAATTGAATATCCAGGTAGCTCAAATTCTTATCTTTTCATCTGTTTTTATCCTAAATTTTCTCAAGATTGTAACTTTTTCGTTTTGGGTTTAAGATTTTACATTTGAGTGAGTTAATTCAGGTACCTCAAATTCATATGTCTAATTTACACTCTTTAATATAAATTCCTAGTTCCAAGATTGTAACTTTTTGTTTTGGGTTTATGATTTTTATGTTTGGGTGAGTTAATTGGTCCAGAATTTCTTGATTCTTACTTTTTAATCCCCTTTATTGCAATTAATTGAAACTGATTGTAAAAGATGTTATTTTTTCATCCTTTGATCTACAAAGCTTGAAGTTTCAAGCTTGGTTACAAAATTTATGGTCTTGATTTTGTTCCAAAATTTGAATTGAGTTTTGGACTTTCTTTTATAGGTCAATTTGTTAATATGATGTTAGGTTTAAGCTCGTTTAGCTACAATCCTCCAATTTTGTGTTCAAGAGCACACCATTATAGCTGTATATTTACTAAAATGGGATGGCCTACAAAGCCCCTGAAATCTCAGTTTTATAGAGTTTATTACCTTATCTTGTTGGTGTTACTATGTGTTGTGTCTGCTTCTTTTACTTTTATCTTGAGCCGGGGTCTAACTGAAAAAGCCTCCCTACCTTGTGAGGGTAAAGTCTGCGTACCCTCTACCCCTTCCAGACCCCACTTTGTGGGATTACAGTGGGTTTGTTGTTGTTGTTGTATGGAGTTTATTACCTACCCGAAAAAGAAAGAAGCAAAAAGACCCATCCCTCTTGATTAGTCTTCTGCTGTTCTTTGGTAGTGGGATATCTGTTTGGGAATTCAAACTAGGAGATCCAATTTCCTTGGCTGCTTATGTGGCATTGTGGATTTTGTATACTAATTGAGAAGAGCCTAAACCTTGTTATAAGGAAATTAAAGAAATGTACATCTTATGCTTTTCAAATCCCTTTCTCTTGACACGTGATAGTATTTTTAGTATGTAGCAAGATTTATTTGGCAAAATAGGGGGCCAACCTTGTGCAATGCTATACAAAGGTGAAGTCAATCTATACAACACTAAAGTATACCAAATCACCAAAACCAATAGCTCTAGTAGTTTGTTACATGTGATGGTTGGAGAATCTTCTTTTGCTTAGTGCGTCCCCGAATTTTTCCTCTTATACTTTTGTCACGTGAGATGGCTGATGATGTTTGATGATCTTAGGATAAGTTGGTGAATTGCTAATGGAAGAACACTTGGTTTTGTGTGTTGATCGTCTCATCACACCTGAATCTTTGCACTCGCTGCCAAGGTCCGAGGATGCAGAATCCTCCGTTGGCAGATCTTGCTCTCAGGTAGTTGGTACGTCCTCAGTTATTGATGCTAATGACAACGAACATCCAGGAGTTGGAGGTGAAGAAGAGCCATTACTTCAGAATGTGGAATGCCGGATTTGCCAGGAAGAAGATAGTGTGAAAAATTTGGAGGTTCCTTGTCGTTGCAGTGGCAGTTTGAAGGTATCTTTATGAAGTTGGTAAACTTTTATGCTCTTCTTGTTCAATGAGCTTGTTTGCTGCAATTACCTACTAAAGCTGAAAAATGTTTTGTTGTCAGCAATTCATAAAATGTATTTGTATACCAAACTCTTATAGTTCTTTACATTCTCTTTGATTTGCCTTAGAATTTAAAGTCTGGGAGCCATAGAATAGATGAGCTTATTTTATCTCTCTGTGATGCAATGTCCAACAACTATTTTTTTGTACTTATATGAGCTTTTATTGGTAGCCTAACTATTCTTTCTTCATTTCTCATGTACTTTGTTGTCGCAAAATCCAGTACGCTCATAGAAAATGTGTCCAGCGATGGTGCGATGAAAAGGGAGATATAACTTGTGAGATTTGCCATCAGGTATTTCAATGCATATTCTATTTACCTCGTTCCATTGAGTATGATAATTACCTTTTGCCTCTTCCCTTCCCAAAACATGTTAAGATGATTGAGCCAGAAAAGAGTGAGGGAAGGTGAGATAGTGAGATGGCATAATTGACTCTGTACTAGCTGAGAGTATAGACAACCGTATTTATTTGATGTGTGCCTGCACTTTCCTTCCTCAATACTCTTTCCTGGCTAGAAGGAGTGTCACGAATTCCTATGCAGCAATTCAGCTGTATATTCATTTTCTTACTTCAGATATATAGGACATTGATACTTTAGAATCACAAATTTGGATAATACTTGTTGAAGGAGTTTGTAGTTCAGTTACACGAATTTTTTTTTTCTATCTAGCTGGCAGGCTTACGAAACTTAGAAAATTTTCTGTCTAACCTGCAGCCTTATCAACCTGGCTATACTGCTCCCCCGCCGCCTCCCCAATCTGAAGATACAGCCATTGACATTAGGTATGTTCAAGTCATAACTATTTTCTCATCTGTGTACCAAAGTTTATACCATTCAGTCATTCCCCTTAAACTAACTAGAGAGTATTGACACTGTGCGGATTTTGGTAATTACAGCACAAAATATGTGATATATAGTTTTTTTCTTTTACTGTGGGATGCCTCTCTCACCCACTAGTGGGATTTTACTGGGTATGTTGATTGTTGATTGATTGGGATGCCTCTCTCCCCTTTTCTCAGAAAAAAAAAAAAGTGAAGACAACGGATAAGCTTTCTGTTGTTTGTATTTAGGCTTCCCGTGTACTTGAATATGTGAATCTCCTCTGCTTCTTCAGAAACCTCACAATATGCTCAGCTATTTGATAGATTTTAGCAAACATTTTTTCACTAACAGAAGCCTTAATCATAGAAAAAAATCATTGGTGTTCAGTGACAGTTACATACTATTTCTGTTGATTTTTGTTATTTGTTCGTTATCTAGTTCTGCATTAAATTGAGTCGTAGTTAAATGAAAACTCAGCTTCATTGGCATGAAAATATTTTTCTTTTCCCGTGGACCAACAACTATGGCTTCTTAAAAAATACTTAGAAATAAGAGTATTAACTAGCCACAAAGATCTTTGCCATTTACTGTTCGTATAACATGTTTAACTTTTTATCTTTTGGGATATTTTAATTTTCACGATATATACTATTAGTGCATAATTTGGCCTTGTTACTAAATTTTGTAACATAATCTGATAATTACAATGATGCCACTTTTTGTCGTTAATATCTTCTGCCTATGTTAAGTGATTTGTTCTGACTATTTTTTTTCTGTCCTTAGTTCTTTTCATTGACGGTGTTTTTCTCGGTTTATTGTTCAATAAAATCCAGATGCTTTCTCTCTGCTTCTGGTGCCTCGGTGGTCATATAGCAATTGAAACATAAATAGAGCATCTTTTTGCAATCTTGATGTGCTGAAAAGCTTCTTTTCTGTCTTATGTATCAATGATGAATTCAACCACGTGGATTAAGTAGAGGTTGGACAGTGGGTGGCACTCAGATTGACTTACATGATCCGCGACTTCTTGCAATGGCTGCCGCTGAACGCCGTCTTCTAGACGCTGACTATGATGAATATGCTGATTCAAATGCTAGTGGAGCTGCATTTTGTCGTTCTGCTGCTTTAATAGTAAGCAACTGAAGCTATATCATGTAGTTTCATTGCATGGCAAACTATCTTTTGCTAAGTAGTGGCAAATAGTAATGTTGGGCATGCATTAGAATGGTTCCTCTGGCTAGTATGTACATGAATGGATAGAAAAGCTTCTCTTGACAGGAGGGTGGGAGTAACCTTGGTAGTGTGATACATGAATTTCATGTTAAGCTTTGTAATGGTAATTTAGGAATAGACTTCAGAGTGAAATTGAATTGGTTATAGAATTTTATCAAGGATGCATCTTTCAGCTTGTCTCGTCCTTAGAGAACGGGGATTTTCATCGTATTGGAGTCATATTTTAGTATTGATATGTAAGAGAAAAAGTTATTTATCAAAAAAAAAAAAGATATTAACTGATCCACCCTTTTTCTATATAATTCTATCTTGGTGTTGGTTATTTACACACTCATGCTTGTCTTTCAAGATTCTCCCTGCAAGTTGTTGAAATGGCAGTGTGGTATTAGTATCTGATATTGTGGCGCTGCAACGGTTTCTTGGTGGAGCTCATGCTTTTGTTCTCCTCCTCTCCTTCTATTACTCTTCTTGTTTCTTGTGCTACTTTTCTTCTGGTTGTCCAATTGGATCAGACATGAGAATTAGTTTCTTGCCTAAATATATTGAAGATTTTTGCGGTACGGCATGGCCCTATGTGTTTATGGATGTCAAAACCTGTGGATCTTGATGACAAAGTTTTGTTTTCAATCTTCTTACTTTGTTTGCTCACCTTATTGAATGATGCACTCTGTTTTCCTGCAGTTAATGGCCCTTCTGTTATTGAGGCATGCTCTGACCATTGGAAATGCTGATGAGGATGAGGATGATGTTTCCGTTTTTTTCTCCGTAAGTAGTACAAAGAATATTATTTCTGTTTGTTAGTTTCTAAGATGAGTTTATGACATACTATATACTATGGTAAGGAGTGTGGGACTAATGATCTGGTTGATCCTTGACACAGCTTTTCCTACTCCGTGCTGCCGGTTTTCTTTTACCTTGTTACATTATAGCTTGGGCTATCAGTATATTGCAGCGTCGCAGGCAAAGACAGGTTAGTGACTTTTTCTGCTTTTTAAGTAACTTCTGTGACTATATTACTCCCTCAATCCTGTTTGACTAGACATGGAGTTTAAGAAAGAAAGAAAGACTTTTGAAACTTGTAGTTTGTACCAAGACATAGACATTTGTATGGCTAAAATCATCTCATTATGGGGGTAAATGAGAAGTTTATAGTTAAATTATTTCCAAATATAAGAATGTATCATTCTTTTGCGACAGATTTATAAGGAAAGTGTACCACATAAAATAGGACTGAGGGACTTAACATTTGTCTTCATATTTGCACATTTTAGTGATACTTTATGTTCATGCACAATGTGTAAGTCTTATGCTGCAAATCCCTTAGTGTTTTCTGCTTTTCTTGTGGTGGTAATTGTTGATTAGTTGCTATGTCTATGCACACTTGTAAATTTTTATAATACATGCTTATTCCATGCTTAACCAACTATTTTGATTTCCATCTTTGGCTATTTAAAAGTCCAACTTTCACGGATGAAATGTACATTTTTTTTTCTTTTCCTAAAAAGTCTTGTCACTTTTACACTTCTTAACTTCCAAAGAATTCAAAATCTAAGTTGGCTCTGTCCTTTTTTTCTTTAAAATTTTTCTCCAATAAGTATTAAAACTGTTCAGCTTTCATATTGATAGTGATGTAAATAACAGTAGGCAAGTGGTTATATACATTGTGGAATGTGGAAGTTACTGAATGGCCATCTTGAACATGAGAGAGACATCACAACTACTTTCAATCTGCAAGTTTTGAGGTTCCGCTGTGATTTCAGGACTCCATTTTCACTACTGGTTAAGTTGAATTAATAAGGATCAGAGAATGTCATTTTGTCATGATAAAAAATTTTGGAAACTAATAGCAGGTTCAACATTTGAGAATATTGGTTGTGTTCGACTTGCAGTGTAACCAACATTTGGCTCCCGTTTCATGGCCTTTCTTAGATAGATAGATGCTTAAAAGTTATATGTAGCATTTCTCCTTACTAATTACATGACATCTAAAGGTTAGTTTCTTATTTGCGTTAATTATATTTGAATTATATATTCTGACAGCATAGATTACTTCTACACCTGAGTGAACTAATGATTGTATTAGGTACTTGCATTATTTTCAGTCCAACTTTACGATAGGCAAGTATCATTAGATGTCATTGTCTTGTAAGTGACTTGACCGTGTAAATTGTAAGGGTTTTTTTAGGCAGAATAGCCTAAATGACACTTATACTTGTGCCACTTTGTCATGCCGGTTCCCAAACTTAGTATTTTGCCAATTGAACACTTACACTCGTTCAAATCGTGTATAATAAACGCTTATGACAGGAGGCTGCTATGAGTGTAATACAATCTCCTACACGTAGGATGCCACGTCATTACTAGTGCCACATAGGAAAATAAACTATTGACTTTATCTTCATTTTTTCCTTACTCCACCATCACTTCTCCTTACCACCAACAACTCCACTGTTATCGCCGGAAAATTCCTCCGGTAACCGGAGAACATCATTAAAAATCTTGTAGTGTTCATTCAACTCTAAGAGTCTTGTAGTGTTCTAATGATCTAACTGTGCTGCTGATGACATATACACACAAAAAGAAACAGGAAAAANAAAAAGAAATACAAGATATTAGTTACTAGTTAGTTAGTCTCTACGGTAGGGTGGTCGGGGTTGGGTTTGGGTTGGGGGGGGTGGGGGGGGGAGGGGACGGGAAGGGGAAGAAAGAAGAAAAAGAAATAGAAATGGGAGATGGGTTTTGGGGAAGAACGGAAGGGGGGTGCAGGTGGTGGGGGGGGGGGGGGGGGAGGGAGGGAGAACGGGAAGGGGAAGAAAGAGAAAGATAAATAGAGAAATGGGATATGGGTGGGAAAGAACGGGAAGGGAAGGATAGAAGAGAAAAGAATGGGGTGGGGTGGGGTGGGAGTGGGGCTGGGGGAAAGAAGGAAGAAGAAAGAACAGAGATATTTTAAATTTTCTTATATTTTTCTCTTGCTTTTACCTTTCTTTTTATTTTTTTCTTCTTATTTTAATCATTTTTAGTATAACTTTTTTATGTTTACTCTCGTTATGCGCGTGAAATTCACGTATTGTGTCCAACTCAGTCATGAAGTTGTCACATAGGCTTGGTCAACGGTCAGAGGGGTTTAAAGTAATGTGTTTTGAAAATTACGAGTGTCTAGATGAAACTTTGTAGAGTATCGGGACCGGGATGACAAAGGGGGACAAGTAGAAGTGCCATTTAGGCTATTCTGCCTTTTTTTTTAAGATGTTTGTTTGCAAAGTCGAATACATTCTTTTATTATCTCTTGTGATTCTTTCTTCTTTTCACATCTATAAAGCAGGAGGCAGCAGCATTAGCGGCAGCCGAAGTTGCTTTCCTGCTGCAAGCAGGGCAACATAGGGGCTTGCATGTTGCAGTTGCACCTGGACATGCGCCACCAGTAGAGCCTTCGACAACACCAGGACGGGCAACAACTCCTCAGGCGGCAATGCAACCAGGACAGGTGGCAACTCCTCATCTCGAACCAGTATAAACAGCTTTTCTCTGTTTCCTCTCCTAGCATTTTGAAAAAAGTTGATTGTACTGATGGTAACTTTCATGGCGGGGAAAGTTTTTCCTTTTTCCGTTTCATTTTTAATTATTTACTAGCTGTATCTTTGCATTGAGAGATGCAGAAGCTCCAAATTTCCTCTCATTCAGTATTCCGTTATGTTCGTACATGTCAAAACATAGCAGCCCCTAGATGGCGTTGGAGTCTTCGCCTCCTGGGGTCAGTTACAACTTTATCAGATCTTTTCTTCAAGTGTGTAGATACCACCATATCTTTACATCATATTAATCGGTTGCTATTGTTTATTCTCCTCTAGCGACTTATTAGTTAAGCCATGCTTTTTGCTTCCATTTTTTGCATAATGTTTGCACTAGTGTAATCTCCTCCGAAAGAGCGGAGACAGTCATCTTCTATCACTGTGATTTTAGCAGGATTTCTTATTTCTTGCATGTGCTTCGCTAGAGGTTAATTTTGGTATTTAGGACTCTCGTGGGACATGGAGAATTGAATTGATGTTCGTCTTGGGGAGTTGGACTATTTTGGTTCTTATTTATTCAACCAGAGAAGTTTTATGCTGTGACAAATATAGATCTTGCTCTTTAGATGGGGAGAAGGCAAATTATTGTTTTTAGAAGTTTTCAGGTTTGAGAGGCTGATGCTACTTGTTATTATTCAGCACCTGAATATAGTGCCTGCACCTTTGGTGACCTTTTGATCCAAGTAAATCAAACAAAAGAGGGTGAAATTAAAAAATAGCCTTAATTGAAAAATAGTCACAATTTCAAAAGTAAACAAAATTTAGCCACTTTTCATGTAAAGATATATCTGAACGAAAACACTGCTCAAAATACAGAAAATATTCCAGCATAATATATTGTAGTTCCAGTATAATATACTGGACTACAGGCATAATATGATGGTTTAGTGCTGCAGCAAAATAGTGGCTATTTTCTAATGATTTTGCAAACGCTAGTTATTTTTTATATACCGGTCCGAAAATTGGGTAGGCCGTGTTATTTTCACAACAAAAGATTAGTAAGCAGAGGATCAGACCCTATTCACAAAAGGTGTAGACAAACAAGAATGCAACGGGAACAAAGAAGGAAAAGGCTGCCTCCTTTGTCATTTCCAATAGGGAAACTGAAATTGCTTTGGTGATCCTTTCGATCGGAGGCAACACTAGGTGATCCTTTCGATCAATTTAAGTCTTAGTGGGCAGAATTACTTAAAATTTTGATGGGCAAAATTGCTTAGTATTTCCGGTGTTAATTTGAGAAACACGGAAACTGACCTGATCACCTTCTTCATTTCCAAAAAAGAAAGAAAGTAAATAGTACCGATGTTTCAATTCTACATAAGTGACTCTCTCAGCGTCATTTAATCATCTTATTGCTTCGATACCTGCATTGGAGCCCGGTTACATCCGATTTCGCGCATCGTAGGGTCCCATTTAGGGGGGGGGGGGGGTAGGGGGCACTCCCTATAAAGGATTTTTCCATACCCAGGGCTCGAACTCGACACTTCTAATTAAGGGAAGAGCAGCCAAATTTGGGGGCAAGTGCACGGTTGGCCACTAATAACACATGTATTTACTTTTAAGCCACTGTTTAAAATGTCTTTAGTCTTTAGCCACTACTTTAATAAATTTTAACTGCCCGGACGAAAATACCCTTCTGCTCATGTCCTTAACTTTTGAACTTAACTTCAGGACTACATGTCCTTAACTTTTGGGCTTCTTAGCCTAAGTTCAGGACCTATTATCCTTAACTTTTGGGCTTCGTAGCCTAAGTTCAGGACCTATTGTCCTTGACTTTTGAGCTTGTTAGTCTAAGTTTAGGACTTCAGGACTTATTGTCCTTAACTTTTGAACTTGTAACTGTAAGTTCAGGACCTATTGTCCTTAACTTTTGAGCTTGTTAGTCTAAGTTCAGGACTTCAAGACCTATTATCCTTAACTTTTGAACTTGTAACTGTAAGTTCAGGACCTATTATCCTTAACTTTTGAGCTTGTTAGTCTAAGTTCAAGACCAAGTGTCCTTAACTTTTGAATTTGTAACTGTAAGTTTAGGACTACCTATGTAACTCTAAAAACTGTCTGAAAACAGTGGCACTTGTGTATGTGGATTTTTACGGCTAATATGTTGATACAACAAATGAAAAAAAGAATTCCGGTGCGGACAATCTCTCTTGCTGCTTCTATTAGATGGCAATTCCTCCTTCAATGGCCTGATCCATATGTCACATCTTGGACGTTTATAAGCAAACTATATTCGTTTAACCATTACATGTTTCGAGTATGAAGTAATCTGCAACGGAATTTCAACTTTGAGAGAAGCTTTCGAATTTTGTTGCCGACGAAGTCATCTCAACCGGAGTTCCGTGTTCAGAGAGAAGCGAGGGTTTGAGAAGAAAAGCAATGAAGAAAGGGTAAAAATATCTTTTCATATTAATTTTAATAGAATAGTGGCTATTTTTGGGAGAAATTAAAAAATAGCCAGATTTACCACTGATCGTTGAAAAATAGCCAAGTTTCAAAAGTCGTCGAAATTTAGCCACTTTAAATCTGAGCGAAAACACTGTTAAAAATCCGGAAAAATACGCCCGCAAATTTTACGGGAGTTCCAGCATAAGTATGCTTAAACTCCCGTAAATTTTACGGGAGTTCCAGGATAACTATGCTGGAACTCCCGCAAATTTTACGGGAGTTCAAGCATAATTATGCTGGAACTCCCGCAAATTTTACGGGAGTTCCAGCAAGTATAATTGTCCAGTATAATATACTGGAGTTTGGAGCACTGGTGCTCCAGTCTCCCGCAAATTTTACAGGAGTTAGCAAAGTATACCGGTCCAGCATAATATGTTGGAGTTCGTACACAAATGCACCAGAACTCCCGTATATTATACTGGACCGGTCCCTGTTGCAGCAAAATAGTGGCTATTTTTCATTGACTTGATAAACGCTGGCTATTTTTCATTGACCAGTGTGAAAACTGGCTATACCATAATATTTTATCCTATTTTTGCTCAACATTAGAATTGCTGGATAAAAAATAAATACCACCTTCAATAGTGACTACCACACGTCATTTTTACCCAAATTTGCCGCAGTGGCTTCTTTATTCTTATTCCCCTCCTTTCTTGCCGAGCTTGAGAAAATAGCAATTGCGCTCGTTCAGAACCTTAGAATTAAATTAGATGTGTTTATGTCTAAATCCTTACTATCTTTTGAATGCTAAACATTGTTTTAGAATAGATCTCTCGTAATCGGCATAAAGATGGTGGAGCTAAAATATTAAGCAATATCTCCATTTCTATTTATAAATGGGGTATATATGTTCTAGGCAAGTAAGGTATGCTCATACTCTTTACTCCTTTTTGATATTAAAAAAGAAAATTAATTGGATTATCTAATTAGACTACCTATAGTACATTGCTTTTTTCTACGCTTGATTAGTATTTTGTTGGATTTAACTTATATACATAGGCAACACAAACAATATTATAGTATTAGTGTATTTTAACATGTTGTAGCGGGTTGTTGTCTCGTTTGGTTAGGTTACTAATTTCATCTTATTAAGAATATTGCACTGTGGATTATATTGTATAAAAATTGAACCCTTTTTGTTATTAATAACTCACCTACAGAACATTTAAATCCCATGTTCTTTAATATTGATGCTTTTGGAAAGGGCATGCTCAAAGGATTTTAATGCAAAATCTGCATAATTTTATTACTGCAGAAAAAGAAAACACAACAATAGAAACCAACATAATTGGAACAGAAAGCTCTCATATAGGGCCACACCAAACTATAGGAGCACTACAACACAAACTAGAATTTCAGCTGGAAATTAAGATTTAAGGTCTTACTAGAACATATTGACCTTTTGTTGTTAGACAAAAATACAACAAGATTAGGTAGACAAATTAAAGGCAGATGAAGAAAATAGTGAAAAACAAGAAAGTAGTAGAAAATCAAGGGCATTTTGGTCCTCCTTCCTTGGTTTTCCAGTTGTTGTAGCAGGGGCAAACACTTTTGTTACCATAGAAACCAGGTGGAACACACAAACACTTGTTGCAGCATTTTTGGCAGAAGAACATGCATGGTTTGTGGTACTGTGTTTTGCTACATCTCCTCGTACATTGTGGTAAACATTCTGGTTTAATACAAGTAGTACAAACATAATCAAGAATTAGATGTTTTGATTCTCGTAGTTCAAAATAAAACATCAGAATAAAAGAGGAAATACTTACGTGAAGGGTTCAAGCTCCCTGGTCCATACTTTTTCTGAAATCACAAATAAAAAAAAATACCACTTTAGTACTATAGTATTAGAGTGCACATATTTACAGAAAGTGGGAAAATTCAGTCAAAATAATACTCTACTTACAGAATGGTGGTGTTTGCCATTTGTAGCCAGAACTGTTGTAGCAAGAATGGACATGGCAAAAAGGGCCAAAAGTAAAACTGCAACAATCTTGGCCATTGCTGATATGATTTCTTGGGGGTGAAAATGGGGAGCAGATAAGTCGAAACAAAGGAATGCAAAGAGAGGTCTATTTGTGAGTGTTTATTAGAAGCTGTAAATTTGGATATAAATAGAGCCCTTTGAGGTTCTGTGGCTAAAGGCAACAATTATTTTTAGTAATAAATCTTGGATTTGATCCGAGTAAGTGTTGGCCGGTGAGTGGCATTAAATGTAGAAGCATAAATTATTTGGAATACAAAAAAATTGTAACTGCCAGTGAATAATTAAGTTGCTGAATGGTAGTTGAAGAATGAAGGCAGAACCTCAAATAAATACAAGAGAGATGAGGGATTGGGAAGGGGAGTCTTAGCGTAACTGGAAAAGTTGCTGCCATGTGACTAGGAGATCACGAGTTTGAGCCGTGGAAATAGCCTCTTGCAGAAATGTAAGATAAGACTGCATACAATAGACCCATGTGATCCGGCCCTTTCGCGGATCCTGCGCATAGTGGGAGCTTAGTGTCCTGGGCTGCCTTTTAGAGATGAGGGATTGGGAAGAGAAGCCTTGGCGTAATTGGTAAAGTTGTTGTCATGTCACCAGGAGGTCACGGGTTCGAGCCGTGGAAACAGTCTCTTGCAGAAATGCAGGGTAAGGCTGCATACAATGTACTCCTGTGATCCTGTCTTTCCCAGGACCCTGTGCATCTGAGGCGGATCCAGGATTTAAATTCTATGTGTTCAATTTTAAAAAAAATTAATATTGAACCCATTATATTTATAAATTTATGGGTTCATATTTATTATTTTTGTAATATAAATAAATTTTTACACATAAATTTTTTACCCTGCGTCGAAAGTTATGGATACAATTGAACAGTGGCGAAGGCAGAAATTTCTTCAAGGGTGTCCAAAATTGAAAGAAGTGGAAAAAATTCTCCGACAAAGAGTGGTCAATATATGATATATACCTCTAAAATCTAATATTTTACCTAGTACACACTGTAATTTTCTGACGAAGGGTGGTCAGTTGTCCACCCTTCAAAACATATAGCTTCGCCCCTGCAATTGAACACGTAACTACCATACTGCATCCGTCCCTTCGCGTATAGCGGGTACTTAGTGTACCGGGTTTCCTTTTAGAGATGAGGGATTGGATGAGTGCCTTTAGAACAAAAGGAGAACAACAATTGGCCAATTGGGCAATAAATGTTACCTAAAAGAAGGGGGCAATAAGTAAATGAGACATTTCATTCTTACACCAACAAATACAGATGCAATTCAAGATTTTAAGTAGACATTTATACAATATTTTATAGCAGATGAGAAAAATGTATTTGAAAGTTGAAGATGAAAATAATATATACTCCATTTGAGAGTAAGTTGAAATTAGACCTGAACTTAACTTGGAGAAAAAATTGAAGTTATGTGAGAAAATATTCATTTCCTCAGACAAGTTTTTCAGTATTGCCCCAGTATTTGCAAATATGAGACCAATAAATCAAATATCCACGTTAAACATTTACATCAGTTTCTACATTTCATGGCCAAGCATCCTAATAATTTATGGAAGTGAAGTACTATTGCACTTGCTATTCCTTTGTTGTAACAGTAGGTGAGAAGTTAATTAAAATTAATTATAGTTCGAGTAAAAAGCAATGAGTTCACTGCTAAAACCTTGCATAGCGTTTGGCTATAAATTCCAAATTTGTTTTGGAAAATCTGATTTGGGTGAAGTTTGGTTTGAAGATGAAAATGTGTTTGGATATACGTTTTCAAAACATATTTCCCAACTTTATTTTGGAAAAACATGTATATAATTCCCAAGTTTTGGGATTTTGGCCCAAAATCAGCAATTGGGGTGATTTTGGATTTGGGATTTGGAATTTGGGATTTTGCCAAAATGTGGGCAACATCTATGGCCAAACATGAGTTTTGAAAATAAATTCCAAATTTATTTTGGCAAAACTCATGGCCAAACGGGTCCTAGTGTTCAATCTTTTCTTGCTTCACTATTCACCATCTCCATCCCCATCGATCCTAGATTGTAGTACAAAACAAGAAGTAAATCATCTACTCTATGGTTGCAGTATGGAACTAAGCTCCCGTTTGGACATAGACTTTTTTTATCTTTTTTAAGAAGAAAAAGAAATTAAAAATATTATTTGTTCATGGAATTTGATTAGTTTTTGAATGAATAAAAATTCAAGAAATATTTTCAAGTTCTAAAAACTAGTTTTTTTAGGTGAAATATTTTCTCCCACTCACAAACTTAAACTTTTTTCAAGTAAAATGGATGTTCAAATACAATTTCAACTTCCAAAAATTATTTTTCAATATAATACACAATATAAACTTAACAATAAAAAAGGTAGCATAAAATAACAGCTACGACTAAATGCATGAGAATAACTCAAGGGATGGAAAAAATAGCATGTAACAACAACTGCAAATAAATACATATAAGGGAAACCTCGACGATGGAAACTAGAACATGAAATAACAAATTTTTTTTTCAAGTTTTAGCTAATTTTATGTCCAATCGCCTACTAAATGATTTAAGATCAATATCTAATACACAATAATAATGGCAATAAAAGGGAAGAAGATCGTTACACTTGCAAGAGACAGTACCATACATAGCAAAATAAATATGGAGACAAATGCTCTAAACAGTAAATGAGTGAAACCACACCACATGCAGCGAACAGTCAGTGAAATTGGAAAATTAGATCTTTTATTATTAGCAGACAGACCTCTCCATTTCAGACATTAATGGAGGAGAGACCGCTGCTTCATTGCTCATGTGCCCCTCATTAATTTCCTTTGACTACCTACTATGTACCATTTGTTGAATTACAGCCCATTAGTTCAACTTGTCTTTTTCTCCCGCCAAGAGGTGTCAAATGGGTTGGTTGGTTCAATTTTGGGTAGGTCAAAATGGATTGAGATGTGCTGAGTAAAGTTGAGCTCAAATTTAGGTCATAGTCCTACTCTAACTAAACTTCAATTAATGTGTATCGATAAAAATTACACGGGGCGCCCTATTTGGTCACATCATTTAACTTTTATCCACTTTTAAATTTTTTTTAATTTGTACCCGCTGTTTAAACAACTTCGGGCCTCCTTCTTCTTCTTCTTCTTCTTCTTCTTCTTCTTCTTCTTCTTCTTCTTCTTCTTCTTCGGGTAACAGTGATTTTATATAGTGTTTGTCCACATATTTTAAAGTAGTTTATGATGTTTTACGGCGGTTAGCAGTTGTGGCGCTTTATTTTTTATTATTCCTTAGGGTTTCCTTTTTTTTTTCTTAATTGCAAAATGAGTTTGTTAGATTTATTGTCGTTTTGGCAATTTGATGATTGAGGCTTATTCTTGATGATATTTGAAAGTTATGTTTCAAATTTGAGCTCAGAGTAGATTTAGGTATTAAATTGTATATTGGATTGTTAATATTCGACAAAACAAATTTTTGTTTCTAGGCAATTTGCATTTCAAGCCTATTTGGCCTTAAGTGCATGAAAATGTTGGTTGCACTTCAGACATTTTGGCCTTAAGTGCATCTGAAGTGCAATTTTCACTTCAGACTTATTGGCCTTAAGTGTAGGAAAATGTTTGTTACACTTCAGACCTTTTGGTTTTAAGTGCATCTGAAGTGTAATTTTTCACTTCGGACTTATTGGCCTTAAGTGCATGAAGCTATTGGTTGCACTTCAGACCTATTTAGCCTTAAGTGCATCGGAAGTGCAATTTTTTCATTTATTAAAGTTGATCGTAAAGTGGGTAGGCTTGCAATTTTTTTTTTTTTTTTTTGCAAAGTGTGTGTAGGTTCAATTGTGACCCCAAAACCGGGTGTTGTTTTCTTATAAGTTACTTAATTATCAAATAAGACATTTTTCTTTTGTTATGGTCATAAATAATATATCAAATAAAAAAATATTTTAAAGATATTTTAGCAAAGTTACTCATGGATTAATTTGGGCTAAAAATCAGCCCAGCTCTAAATGGGTTGAAATGAGTTGGGTCAAGATGGGTTGAATTCAATAAATGAGCAGGTCAATGACCAGCCCAACCTTGAGCGAGTTGGACGGGTCAAATGGGTTTGGGCTCAAATTGCCACCTCTACTTCCACCTTAATACCATACTCTTGAGGGGGGGGGGGGGGAGGGGGTGCAGAAAAACAAAAAAAAAACAGAAAATTGAAAATACAAAAAAAAAAAAGTAAAATTGGGGCAATTAAGTAAAGTTTTAGATAAGTTGGGTTGAGATCCCTTGGTTTTGGGTGAGTTTCATGTGTTGTATTTGGGCTCCTTAATGGGTCAGAACCCAGAATGGGCTTAGAGAATTTTTCATAAACCACTATTGTTTAGTGGTTATTAGCTAGTTGTAGCTATCATTTACTATATTACTTCAAGCTACTGTATTCATGAATATAGTAGCAAAACTCTGCGTGAAACAGGGGATTCTAGCTAGACAATTATTGTATTCGACTGTATTCACGATATGTATTTGTGAATACAGTAACGTAAATAGCGCAAATCGTGGTCTATTCAGCTGTTTTTAAACAGAAAGTGAATCAATTAACACAATAAACTCCTAATATAACTCAACTAACTCAATTACATCACCCATAATCTGTATTTGACGCGAAATATGCTGAATATTTTTCCCAGCCGATATATACAACAAAACAGAGCAATCGTCGAGTTTCTAATCCTTCCCTTTTCTGTTGATATCGTTCGTGGGTATTTCTGTTTTCAACCAATAAAATTCGAGATTCATCTATAGTGCAAAAACATATGAATACATACTGCAGATACATTTGAATACATATATACATCTGAATACATAAATTATATTAATTAAAAAAAAAATAATGAATACATTCATGGAATACAGCGAGACAGTGAAATACATGGAATACAGCGAGATACATTGAAATACAATGAAAAAAAGAGACAATAAATACAATGAAATACATGGAAATACGGCGAGATACGTTGAAATACAATTAAAAAAAAGTAACAGAATCTTCAAGTTGCTCAGCCCCAAACTCCGTCGCCTTTGTTCAAGAACAATCCTAATGTTGTCTCGTCGAGAGGGCCGCGATTCTGACTCGAAACGTCACTGTTCCCGTTTCGATCAA